CACCATGAGCTGCATGACAATGCAATGCAATCCAACCAACTGCCTTCAGCGCGCCCTGTTGCCCGACATAACTCGAGTAGGTGTACTAGGGCGGAGCCGTGTGGCAACGTGACAGGGCCATCAGAACCACAACTTTTTTAATCTGACATCCCGCAAGGGGAAAAAGCTGTGAGGCTCAACAAAATGACCTGAGTCAGAGGCAAAGGGGCTTGTTTGAAAGCTTTCAAAGAAGCACCCAGTTCCACCAGTAAAAACTGGGCCAAATGACACAGTCCTGACACGTTCTGCTCAAAATCCAACTGTGTAGTTTCGTGAAATGTGGTCCCAAAAATACACAGTTGGATTTTGAGCAGACCGTGTCATGACTGTGTCATCTGGCCTGTTTTTTCCAGGTGTTCATCTTGAGACCGTGGCCTTGTGCCCTGATGCAAGAGCCAATTGCCTCCTTTCTTCATTTGACTCCAATATGCAGTAGATTGCCCAGCACAGCATCACCACGAGATTCTTCCATATCATGGCGGCCACAAAACTGTTTTTATTGGCAGATAGCACGATGGCGTGCCAAGGAAGCTTTTTTGCCAGAATGGCGGATGGCACTCCCACGGAACGCCGCAAAACCCCTTGCATGCACTTCCAGCGGATTTCAAGTCGGCACTCGACGGTACCAGCCCAGCGGTCCTTCAACGGTACAAAGAACAACCCTTCTGCCTCTTCCTTAATTTTCTTCCACACGTTCTCTGGTGCTGTCCTGTCGATTCTCATGGACAGCTTGATGCAGAGGCTCTTCTAGAATACGCCCCAACACATGGGGAGTTCACGACGCGCCGGTAGCCTCACAGCATCCCATCGTCAGGCAATGTCTCGCTACAATTGATTGACTGATTGCGCTGAAAAGGGCACTGCCACCCGGCGACGCGCGAAAGATGGCGGCCTGCGTTTGGCAACTCGGCCCTTCACCACGGCCCAAGACTTGGCCCCGTGGCGTCCAAGGGACGACACACCGGCCACGTGCAAGGTACGTAAACCGGACTGGGCACCCCTGCCCCGCATTCCTCAAGTACACAATGTTTCACAGCGAAGCCGAGGGGGCGCTGGGATGCATCGCACTCGTATTACTGGCGGATGTGGGAACTGACGGGGAAGCGCAGCGCGAATGTGGCCCAGCGCCAGCCAGCGCCCAGCCCCCCGTTGCACTGGGCCCCCGAGGTGACAACTCGCACTGCTTCCGCCATGCACTGCGGGCGTTACTGCCAGTGTGACCTTCATGACAGGTGTACGCGAGGGCCTGTTGGCCACGGAATCCGATTTACATCTCGTCAATCACGAGGAGGACTACAAGGTTGCGCGTGTGGGGGGCAGCCGCTGGACAGCGGACACAAAGGGCCTGCCCGAGAGCGTCCAGACATCGCCGCGCCCCCCCCCCCCCTTCCCAGCCGCGGACTCCAACCCTTGCTTCCGCCGTGATATGTCTGCCGCGTCGATCGACCCTGCCGGCAAACAGGAGCGATTCGGACGGCGGGGGGCGGGATGGCGAAGTTCGGGGTGGCCAACGAGCTGAGCTCGGTGTTCCAGGTGACCCGGGATGGCCACTGGGGGCCGAGAAGCAAGGTGGGCAAGGTGCTGGTGACGATGACGGGCAGCGAATTCGCGCACTGCAGCGATGAGCTGCACCAGGTCCTGCGCAAGCACTCGGCGTTCGATTCGGACGCGCGCAAGTACCGGGGCGCCGGCTGGGTGGCGGCCCTGTACAAGGACTTCGTGGGCGGGTCGTCCAAGTCGGTGGCGCGCCAGCGGCTGATGCTGACCAACGACATGAACATGCACCCCCTGCGGCGCCACCTGACCTACCAGCAGCTGTTTTCCAAATACGCGGGCGAGCGGCGGCAGGACGGGCCGACCATCGGGGAGGTGCTGCAGACGTACGCGGAGAGGCGAGTCATCGTGATGGACGACCTCGACGCCATGGGGTGCGAGGTGCTGGAGGGGACGTGGTGCGAGCCGTTGACGCCCGCGGACGTCGAGGCGGCGTTCGACTACCACCAGACCACGACCAGCGTGGGCTGCGCGGCGGGCAGCATGAAGAACGCCGCGGAGATGGACGCCTACATCCAGCTCTACCAGCTGTGCGACGCGTCCGCGCACCCCAGCGAGCCGGCCATGGTCTGCCGCAAGACGGGCGTGGACGTGGAGTGGGTGGAGAAGGCCCTGCTGGTGGCCTTCGCCGATCCGGCCAACACGCTGCGCGTGGGATTCATCTGGCACCCAGTCAAGACGTCCCCCCGCAGCGCCGGCAATCCCGTCAAAATCCTGGCCGAGATGGCCCCGGAGGCGCGGCGCCGCACGGTGTACGTGGCCCCGCTCGACCTGCTATACCGGACGACCAGCGCTGGTTACCCGGCGTCATACCGGCCGGGGTACAGGGGGGAGGCAGACTCGAGGAAGGACATCCAGTTCATGTTCAGCTACTCCGTGGCCGCGGACGAGGTGCGCCTGGTGGAGGGGCGGGCGGGCGTGGCGGGCACGCTGTCGGTGAACATGGTGTCCGGCGCCAGCGCGGGCGCGACAAACAACGTGGTGTTCGTCAACGAGGCCTTCAGGTCGCTGGGGTCCTTCGACACCGAAGGGGCGAAGAAAAGCGACCCCTCCGCCTTCGCCCCCCAGGACATGATTCGCAACGAGCTCTGGATGCCGCAGCCCGACGTGCGCAACATCACGCACCAATTCAGCTGATTCTACTCTGTTTCTCTTTTTTTCTGCTGATTTCAGCTGTTTTTTATTTGGGACCGCCTTTTCTGGGACCGCTGTGGGGTTGGAGCTCGTGGGGCGGCGCGAATAACTGGGGCCGGGCTCTGGCCGCGGATGGGCAGGGGGATGGGAATGAACCCAAAAAATGCAAGGAACGATGCGAATCGGGAAACGATTCTTTTCTCCTTCGTGGCGGGGCGTATGTGCCTCTAGCAGAGCTGGAGGGAATAGCGTTGCCTTGGGCTGTCCTCGGATGGGTGGCTGTACAAGCTGAGAAGTCGTTCTTAGGGTGGGTAGTTTTTTTTTTCATGCGTATATTAGCACGTGTAAAATCTTTGCATCGGTGCTCGTCATGGGCGGCAGCCACCGCGTTGGCGCCCTTCCTCCCGTGGGCTGCTGTTTGGTCGGAGGTGGCCGACGTTTTCTCTTCCTTCTCATTCGTTCCATAATGCTGAATCACGTCCCATCCCCGCCCCCAGGAGAAGCTTTCAACCTCGTGAGAAAATGCAAGGCGATTTGCAATGCACATCGTGGTTGCATGCCAATGCCACATTCAGCGTTCAGTCCAAGTCCATTTGCGTACATTTTCTTCGAGACCATTGTTTCGAGCACATTGCTGAGACCCACAATGCGCCACCCCACCAGCCTAGTACTTCGCTCCTCAAGTGCTTGCTCAACACTGCATGCCCTAAGTCACCCGCTGCGTGTTTACCCGGCCGGTAATGCACCCTTCCAATCTCCACAGTGTATGCGCATACCCCATGGGGATTTGACACAATACCATCCAAATGCAATTTCTTGCCAGATGGGCTGCACTGACCTGAGTGTCAAACCAAACTACGTTCACAGCATCGTCCAAACCAGCAGCAGCTTACCCTGCACCCTCCAACATCAACCCCAGTCTCTTCACCAACCAAACTGCTGCTAGTTTTTGGCAACTGGCTGCTAGCATAAGGGCGCTGTAGATGAGGGATAGGAACGGCTCTGACAGGAAATCCCAACCGTGATGATGAGAATCGAACAACAGCGCTTGGTCAAGACCACAATGTGGCACTCTGCACACAAATGGACACCGCTTGCCAGAATGCACAAGAGTGTCAACCCCCTCCTGATCCTATCCTGAAACCTTTGTTGTCTCGGCTTGCAGTTCTTGGACTTTGCTCCCCGTGTCCCTGCAGCATTTACCGTTCTCCGTCAAATCCAACTCCATTTTCAGCCAACATTGCCATTTGGAGCAGGGTGGGCCTCGCCATGTTAAGTTCAATGCAGTTACAGCAGGCACAAAATATGGAGCGAAGGGCCCCTAAATGTTGGCAGTCATTTCCAGCATTGCAAATGCCCACTACCTGTAGACGATTCACAAACTAGGCAAGAGCACACTGTTCTAACCAAGGGCCTTGGCTGCATTGCACCAGGCCTTCGCATGCAACAAGCAATGGACTCCTTGGCCCCGTGCACATAAAAACTCGGGAACAAAGTCCCATCTGCATAATTGAGCAGCATCCCGACCAACAATGAAGGAAGGCGCCAATCCCAAACGAATGAGTGTCACGTGCACGCCAGGGCATGCAACACGTCCAATACACAGGCAAAACGCTTGCAGCAGCTCGACAGACACAAGGTCAAAACAATTCGTTGCCCACCCCCCACCCACCCACCAGCATGCAGCCGCCAAGCAAGCACACCCCACAACAACATCACGCTGGGTGGCTGCCCACAGCAGGTCCAGCCAGTACCCAAAATGGTACTGAGGGCCTGGCAGTCGTGCCCTCGCACACTGGCCCCGCCTGCTATCGCCCTGAAGATGCAAGCGGAGTGCTTCATTGCAATTCCACATACACCATAACAATGGAATGCCAGCCCCTCTCTCCCCCCTCCCGCCCCAAAGGAAAAGAAGAAGAAGAAAATACCACCCCAGCACGGCCTCCAACCACATGGTCATGAACGTGGTAACGTGCCAAATGCCAGTGCCCAACCCTACCCCACACGCTCGCGGATCAACTCCCGGTACTCCCTCTTCATCTTGACACCCGGCAGGTTGTGAATCCGCTCCTTCAGGTAGAAGAACTGAACCGTTGGGGTGCCCGTGACGCCCGCTGCCTCAGCGATCTCCGGGTCCTCCTCTATGTCGATCTCCACAAGGTGCATCTTGCCAGAAAACTCCTCCACCACACCGTGGAACATGGGCTTGAGGGTGCGGCAGGGCCCGCACTGGGGCGAGGTGTATAGCACAGCCAGCATGCGGTTGCTCTCATGGTAAAGCTTGCGCAGGGCGTACTGCCCCTTGTGCTTGTCAGCAAGGATGTCAAAGGCCTCCTCCTCAGGAGTCTTGGCAGCTTTATCGTTCACGGGCACCTCCTCCTGAGCACACCACAAGGCCATGTCACTCGCAGTGCACCTCATGGGCAGGCCCACAGGCCCACACAGTGAGGACTTGCCATTTGGTGATTCATGAGGGACACAGCCATTGTCCCTGTCTTGGAGATGTGCGATCCCTTGACCGAATGGTGGACTGGCTGATCGAACCGATTCGCCCACATTCCTGCTGCTAGAGCATCCAGAACGACTAGCAGCACCATAAATACTGTTGTTGTTATGGCCTCTAGCATGATTAGCAGCAACAAAAATATAGTCATTATTATGACCTTTAGCACTATTCACCTACACGGCGGATGTCTGATACAGTTCTCTCTCTTGGTGGCTCTCGTTGAGCTCAAACGACAGCACCACACCTACCTCTTGCTCTGGCCTGTACTCCTTCATGAGGCTCTGGGTGGTGAGATACCTTTCAGCTGACAGGGCTGCCATACAGCCTGAGCCTGCAGCAGTCACTGCCTGCCGCCATTCCACATCGTGCAGGTCACCTGCCGAAAAGACGCCATCCACAGTGGTGAATGTGCCATTGGTCACCTGCATGCAAAAGTAAGAGCACAGACTTACACAAGCCGATATGGTATGATGTTGGGGCAATGATTGGATCTTTCCAGAGAAAGATGCACAGGTGGTGACGGGTGTGTGGCCTTGTTCATCACACCTGATCCAAAACTATAATCCATGGAACTTTCAAGCCTGTGGGGGATGGGAACAAAACAGACTTTGGATACAATTGCTTGTGAGTCTGACCAGTGCCAGCATTCCCTGACCAAGATATTATGTTGTTATGTTCGCACAAATGCAGTCAGTGGCGACTCTTCTTTGACCTGGCTGTAGTTGTGCGCATATTGCACTGCTTCACTTCCTGCTGCCTGATGAGCCAAAACAGTGATCATGACTTGAATTTTGTGTTGCTTTATGTGGAATGGAAAGAGTACACATTAGAAGCAACAGAAACACTGCTTTGCTGTTCACACTGGATAGTGATATCAGCAGACAGGAGTACACAAACTATGCTGCACAATACACTTGTATGCAGAGAAAGCCATAGAATTGGCACATTTTCTTGCCATTTAGTAGCGTTCAATGCTGGACGTTCTCCTGCTGCGCTTGGATATGCACAACGTGTGCATGGATCTGCACAGTATTGCGAAGATATCGAAATATGGCAACAGTGTGTTCATGGCAAAATGCCTGTTCCAATCGTGACTCTGAAGACTGATCACAAGCGGGAGGGTTGGGCCAAAAAGCCTCTTTGCTCTCAGCACATCAATGCATTGTTCTTTGTGAAATTTGAAAGATTTTGAAATTCAAACACATGGGGCCTGGCATTTGATGAATAACAATAACAGCAATTGATGCCCTTGTTGCACTGGTGAAACCCTTGTACAAAGAGCCTAGCACTACCTCCGACCATTGCTTCCCAGCTGAACGAAACCTACCAAGCTCAAGGAGCCTAAGGAACTGTACCCATCACCCCCTGGCCAACTCCGTGCTTCACACTCTTTTATAAACTGGATGGACCGGCCTTTACCACATTGATAGTGAGTGGACAAAGAGTTTGTCCATCGGCACACTGCAACAAAGAAGATTCTTCCAAAGACACATTCACGCTGCACAAACTGCCAACAGAAGGGCACAACAAAAGGGCTAAGGCACGATCTGCTTCCAGTTCAACAGTATCAAGGTAATACCTCGCACATTCCTGACAAGATGTTCATCCATTCAACACAGCAATAGGCAGACAACAAAT